CCTCCTGACATCAGCGTGAGTGTCTCCCTTCCGGGAGACTCGCCCTTGGCCACCCCATCTACAGCAGGTGCTTTCCTCTACCTCGTTCTCTATCTAAGGCCTCCTTCTTTCATAACACTTAACACAATGGCGATTTGTGTTTCACTTGTGTTTTCCTTGCCCAATAGTCCTTAACCTCCAGGTGAGCAGGGACCAAGTCTGTGTTGTTCACTTTCTATCTCCAGCTCAGAGTCCGGAACCTGGCACACAGTAGGGCCCCAGTGTTGAATACAAACGCTCCTTAAACCTACTAATTATTCCCAAAGAGCCCAACATGCTGTCTCCTACCACAAAGGTGTTCAATTAATAGTTGCTCATTTGGTGTGATTTGAGGTCGGAATGTGGCCTCCAGCTTCCTTCCTACAGCTGTAAATCACTCTGTTGCAGACGCTGTTTCCAGTTGCTTGAAAACAAGTGGCATCAAAAGTCAAGACTGTCACAGTCATAGTCGAACAAGTAAGTGTAAGAGATGCCATCTGTCATTGGTAATTTCTTAAAACCATTCATGAGACAAAGTAATCTACTTTAATAAGCTTTGAGACTCAGTGTTTGAGTTAGTCCCGTTATTTCCCAAAGAACATAGCAGAGAAATTGATGATTACCGTTATAAATGTTATCAAAATCCAATTTCTTTCTTTTGACTTAGAAATGGTATTAGGAGAATTAAAGTAATGTTCTAACCATGTTAAATTTCTGAATAAGGGTTTGTTTCTCCTGGTCTACTGTGAATCCTTCTCACTGAAGTACTCAGGGATGATACTAAAGAAACCCCATGAGTTGGCAATTCTGTTAGCTTTCCCAGAACTAAGTTCTACCCAGGACAGGGTCGAGCCTGCTGGGCTTGGTTCTAGCCATTTAACATGTATTAAATCATAATCCTCTAACCTGTGCTATGAGGTAGGTACTCTTATGTTGACTTAAAAAAATGCACAACATGGGAGTTGCGAGTTAAGTTTTTGGGGGGCAAAATGAGGACTGCAGCCCGGGAGACAGCAGTTCAGGTAACTGAGAAACTGCCCCAAGGAGGCGAGGGAAGGAGCCAGGAGATACAGGAGTTTTGCAGCAAAGAGCAGGTAATCGGAACGTCAGAAGATTATTGATTTTTGTTTTTTGTTTTTCTAACATCTTCATTGCAGTATAATTGCTTTACAATGGTGTGTTAGTTTCTGCTTTATTACTGGGCATATCCCCTGAGAAAACCATAAGTCAAAAAGAGTCATGTACCACAATGTTTATTGCAGCTTTATTTACAATAGCCAGGACATGGAAGCAACCTAAGTGTCCATCGACAGATGAGTGGGTAAAGAAGATGTGACACATATATACAATGGAATATTAGCCATAAAAAGAAATGAAATTGAGTTATTTGTAGTGAGGTGGATGGACCTAGAGTCTGTCAAAAAGATTATTGTTAATTAAAGACAACCAAATGTCTCAGCTTAAGGAATTCAACGCTTTTCTAGGTATGGGAAGATGCCAGAGTCTGGACTCAGTGAAATCATTCCTTTGATATGCATCTCAACTATCTGGAGCCAGTATCCTGTATTTTCACATCCTGAGTTTCCTCAGGGCTCACCGCAGGGAGTGGCTGCAGTCTGATGGCTGCTGATGGCAGGGATCCTGATGGCAGGGATCCTTTTCAGCCCTGAGTCACCTCAGGGCTCACCGGCTCACATTGGAGGGTTGCAATCATTGATGACTGTGCCATCTTTTGTTTATTGATATGGCAGGAAATATTCCATTTGTAAATATTCCATTCCATTTATAAATATTCCATTTATCACTTACCAGCCCATTTTAGAGAGAAGATAACTAGAGAGATTTGGTTACAGAGCTAGAAGAGGTGAATTCAGGACCCAAACCCAGCCAGTCAGGCTCCAGAGCAAATCTTAACTATGATACAATGGAACAAGAGAAATACCAGTTTTTCATGCAAAACATAATTGTAGGATTAGTCCAGCCAGACAGTTGTAGCTATGGGATCTCTCTGCTTTTCAGAAAGAAGAACGGAAACATCATTCGACTGTCATTTCATTAATTCCATAGAATTAGTTGGTAGTTCCATAGAGCAGGGAAAGTTCGTGAGCCAGTGTTGCTGGTCGATGTAAATAGGATGTCTCTCTGTGTGCTAGGTATGGTTCCAAGTAGAGCGCTCGGTCTTCACTTCGGGAAATAACCATGAAGGAGCATTTCTCACGGGTTCATGAGAAGTTGTACAACTCTTCTATTTTTCTGTTTTAGTTTTTAGCTAACTTTTTTTCCTTCCCTAAAGGCCTCCAGAGCTCTCACCTATGGGAATTTGTGAGAGACCTGCTTCTATCTCCTGAGGAAAACTGTGGCATTCTGGAATGGGAAGATAGGGAACAAGGTATTTTTCGGGTAGTTAAATCAGAAGGCCTGGCAAAGATGTGGGGACAAAGGAAGAGAAATGACAGAATGACGTATGAAAAGTTGAGCAGAGCTCTGAGGTAAGTGAACAGCACGAAATGTCGTGAGCCTTCAGGCAGAGTTATATAAAAAGTGTCATGAGACAACACTTCGGCTCTTAGGTACAGGTGGGATTAGGGTTTGTAAACTGACACGCCGTCCTTTCCATCCTTGGCAGTGTTCCCCGGGGATCACTCTGAAGCCAGGCTATCAGATACACACACACGCACACACACACGCACACACACACACACACACACACACACACACACACGTTTTGAACCAGATGTGGTGAGGTTCGCTCTTCAAGATGACTGGGAAAGGTTTAAGTGTAAGTTGATAAGAGGGTGTGAAAATACCAGGGTAACCAAAGACCAGCCTGTCACCTGAGAGGAAAGAGGAACGTGTTTATGCACTGTTGCTTTCCCAGGGTATGAACCCTCCTCACGTCCCTTTTCTGCTGTCTTTCACAGGTACTACTATAAAACAGGAATTCTGGAACGGGTCGACCGAAGATTAGTATACAAATTTGGAAAAAATGCACACGGGTGGCAGGAAGACAAGCTATGACCTCCTCCATCATCAAGCTCATTTTATGGATTTCTGTCTTTTAAAACAATAGATTGCAATAGACCTTGAAAGTTCACTTTTTTAAAAGCCTGCAAACGTGCTGATAAAATTTCTCCACATCTCAGCTTACATTTGGATTCAGAGTTGTTGTTGTCTACTTGGGGGTGATGACAGCAACCCTTAAGAAATTCCTTTTTTTTTTTTTTTTTACCCGAGGGGAGGAGGGGATGATCTTTTGTGGTACCCGGATCAAACATCACTTCCCTAATGAAGAGTTGCAGAACCACAATGCCCTGTGCCATTGCTGCTGCTCAGAGAAAAAGGATCCAATTCTGCCATAAGAGGCTCATCCGGTGCTCCCATTCCAAAGGCTCAAAAGTTTTCACATAGTTAACTGTGGCAGCTCACAAAGCAAAAAAAAGTGATTAGTTTGTAGTTAATATAGTAGGACGGGGTGAGATGTGGGTAAGACAAACATACTATAGATTTTAAATTGTTAAAGTCAAATTCCATAGAAAATTTCTTAATTAGTAAAGGAGCTAAGCCATCAAGCTGGTACATAATTGGATTTAGCATAGGTTAATAGCGAGTTTCTTAAGCAGAACATCTTTTTAGCCACTCAGCAAAACTCCCATGGCCATCCTTCTGGAGTAACACAAAATTAGGCACATTCTTAATTCTTGCTGAGTGTATTCCCCCTCTTCTCCTAGGTGGGAGGTATCAGATGTGCAAAGAGTCGACAGACGCTTACATCAATTTCCAAATCACCTGTTTCTATGATTCAAGTTCTCAACATAATAAAATCGTAATTCATTGATTCTGTCTATGGGCAAGACGTTACACCTTTATAGAACTGGGAATGTCTTGATGGTTCTGTAATGGCCAATTAACTTATGAGCCTCTCGTTTTGTCTTCCCACCCGATGAGTACGCAAGCTCTAAAATGCATATTTCCTTGACAAAATTAGCGACGTTGGATTTACACCAGTGAATGTTCACAAGTTAAAGTATGCACTGACATTTTCTCATCAGTCACTGGTAGGTGAGCCATTAGTGACCTCCAGCTGGGTGGACTGCCCCTAGAACTCCTTCCCCAGAGCAGGAAGCCTCATGTGATGAGGCACTGAACGACAATACAGGCTGAGGGCCTCCATCTTAGAGTTTCACGTCAAAAGTAACTTGTTTTTAAAAAATGTGAATGACTGTAAAATAGTCTATTTTTTAGATTCATGTGTTTTCCAGGTGGATACAGTTTGTAAACAATGTGAATAAAATATTTAACATGTTACACTGTCTCCATGTTGTTCAATTTAGCAAGGCCGACTCAGCAAACATTGACAACCTACAAAACCTTTGATGACCCTTCAATTTCCTAGCATTTAGGAGATGGAGATTCCCAGAGAGCCCCAAAAGATGCAAGAAATATATGAAGTGATCCTCCCCACAACCTTTCTATCCTAAGACAGAGGTCCCCTCACAAGATGGAAGGCATGGTCCAGTGGGTCCTACAGCTATGTTTTTGTTTGGTGTGCACACACACACACACACACATTTTTTTTTTGCTTGTGTTTTGAGGTTTTGTTTTGTTTCTTATTTTGAATTAGTTGCCTTATTTAAAAATCAGGAGAGTTACAGACAAATCCAGATTACCAATTTCTTTTTGAAAATCACATCTGGTACCACTAGTTTCTCAGTGCCTGTCACAGTAATTTCCTGGACCTGAGTGGAAGAGCATTTGGTCACCACTTCATGCTGCCTCAGACGCTGAACTTTGTTCTTGTACTGTTGTGGTTGGTTTGAGGGTTTTTTTTTTTTTCTTTTTAATACAATTTTTAAAGGTTACACTCCATTTACAGTTATTACAAACTATTGGCTATATTCCCCATACTGTACAGTACATCCTTGTGGCCTATTTTACACCCAATAGTGTGTGCCTTCCCCTCCCCCATCCCTATCTTGCCCCTCCCCCACCAGCAACCACTAGTTTGTTTTCCATATCTCTGAGTCTGCTTCTTTTTAGTTATATTCACCAGTTGGTTGTATTTTTTAGATTCCACATATAAGGATATCATACAGTATTTGTTGTTCTCTGACTTATATCACTAAGGATAATGACCTCCAAGTCCATCCATGTGGCTGCTAATGGCAAAATTTCATTCTCTTTTATGGCTAATATTCCATTGTATATATGTACCACATATTCTTTATCCATTTGTCTGTCGATGGACACTTAGGTTGCTTCCATATCTTGGCAATTGTAAATAATGCTTCTTTGAACATTGCGGTGCATGTATCTTTTTTTTTTAACATCTTTATTGGAGTATAATTGCTTTACGAGGTTGTGTTAGTTTCTGCTGTATAACAAAGTGAATCAGCTATATGCATACATATATCCCCATATACCCTCCTTCTTGCATCTCCCTCCCACCCTATTTATCCCACCCCTCTAGGTGGTCACAAAGCACCGAGCTGATCTCCCTGTGCTATGCAGCTGCTTCCTACTAGCTATCTATTTTACATTTGGTAGTGTATATATGTCTATACCACTCTCTCACTTCGTCCCAGCTTACCCTTCCCCCTACGCGTGTCCTCAAGTCCATTCTAGACGTCTGTGTCTTTATTCTTGTCCTGCCCTTAGGTTCCTCAGAACCATTCTATTTTTAGATTCCATATATATGTGTTAGCATACAGTATTTTTTTCTCTTTCTGACTTACTTCACTCGTATGATAGAATCTAGGTCCATCCACCTCACTACAAATAACTCAATTTCCTTTCTTTTTATGGCTGAGTAATATTCCATTGTATATATGTGCCACAACTTCTTTATCCATTCATCTGTCAATGGATACTTAGGTTGCTTCCATGTCCTGGCTATTGTAAGTAGTGCTGCAATGAACATTGTGTTACATGACTCTTTTTGAATTATGGTTTTCTCAGGGTATATGCCCAGTAATGGGATTGCTGGGTCATATGGTAGTTCTAGTTTTAGTTTTGTAAGGAACCTCCATACTGTTCTCCATAGTGGCTGTATCAATTTACATTCCCACCAACAGTGCAAGAGGGTTCCCTTTTCTCCACACCCTCTCCAGCATTCACTGATTGTAGATTTTTTGATGATGGCCATTCTGACTGATGTGAAGTGATACCTCATTGTAGTTTTGATTTGCATTTCTCTAATGCTTGGTGATGTTGAGCATCCTTTCATGTGTTTGTTGGCAATCTGTATATCTTCTTTGTAGAAATGTCTATTTAGGTCTTCTGCCCATTTTTTGATTGGGTTGGTTTATTTTTTTGCTATTGAGCTTCATGTGCTGCTTGTATATTTTGGAGATTAATCCTTTGTCAGTTGCTTCATTTGCAAATATTTTCTCTCATTCTGAGGGTTGTCTTTTCGTCTTGTTTATGGTTTCCTTTGCTGTGCAAGAGCTTTTAAGTTTCATTAGGTGCCATTTGTTTATTTTAGTTTTTATTTCCATTCCTCTAGGAGGTGGGTCATAAAGGATGCTGTGATTTATGTCATAGAGTGTTCTGCCTATGTTTTCCTCTAAGAGTTTGATAGTGTCTGGCCTTACATTTAGGTTTTTAATCCATTTTGAGTTTATTTTTGTGTATGGTGTTAGGGAGTGTTCTAATTTCATTCTTTTACATGCAGCTGTCCAGTTTTCCCAGCATCACTTATTGAAGAGGATGTCTTTTCTCCATTGTATACTCTTGCCACCTTTATCAAAGATAAGGTGGCCATAGGTGCATGGGTTTATCTCTGGGCTTTCTATCCGGTTCCAATTATCTATATTTCTGTTCTTGTGCCAGTACCATACTGTCTTGATCACTGTAGCTTTGTAGTATAGTTTGAAGTCAGGGTGCCTGATTTCCTCCAGCTCTGTTTTTCTTTCTCAAGATCACTTTGGCTATTCGTGGTCTTTTGTGTTTACATACAAATTGTGAAATTTTTTGTTCTGGTTCTGTGAAAACTGACATTTGTAGTTTGATAGGGATTGCATTGAATCTGTAGATTGCTTTGGGTAGTAGAGTCATTTTCACAATGTTGATTCTTCCAATCCAGGAACATGGTATATCTCTCCATCTGTTTGTATCATCTTTAATTTCTTTCATCAGTGTCTTATAGTTTTCTGCATACAGGTTTTTTGTCTCCTTAGGTAAGTTTATCCCTAGGTATTTTATTCTTTTTGTTGCAATGGTAAATGGGAGCATTTCCTTATTTCTCTTTCAGATTTTCATCATTAATGTATAGGAATGCAAGAGATTTCTGTACATTAATTTTGTATCCTGCTACTCTACCAAATTCATTGATTAGCTCTAGTAGTTTTCTGGTAGCATCTTTAGTATTGTCTATGTATAGTATCATGTCATCTGCAAACAGTGACAATTTTATTTCTTCTTTTCTGATTTGGATTCCTTTTATTTCTTTTTCTTCTCTGATTGCTGTGGCTAAAACTTCCAAAACTATGTTGAATAATAGTGGTGAGAGTGGGTAACCTTGTCTTGTTCCTGATCTTAGAGGAAATGGTTTCAGTTTTTCACCATTGAGAATGATGTTTGCTGTGGGTTTGTCATATATGGCCTTTATTATGTTGAGGTAGGTTCCCGCTATACCTACTTTCTGGAGAATTTTTTATCATAATTGAGTGTTGAATTTTGTCGAAAGCTTTTTCTGCATTTATTGAGGTTATCATATGGTTTTTATCCTTCAGTTTGTTAATATGGTGTATCACATTGATTGATTTGCATATATTGAAGAATCCTTGCATTCCTGGGATAAACCCCACTTGATCATGGTGTTTGATGCGCTGTTGGATTCTGTTTGTTAGTATTTTGTTGAGGATTTTTGCATCTACATTCATCAGTAATATTGGCCTGTAGTTTTCTTTTTTTGTGACATCTTTGTCTGGTTTTGGTATCAGGGTGATGGTGGCCTCATAGAATGAGTTTGGGAGTATTCCTCCCTCTGTTATATTTTGGAAGAGTTTGAGAAGGATCAGTGTTAGCTTTTCTCTAAATGTTTGATAGAATTCACCTGTGAAGCCATCTGGTCCTGGGCTTTCGTTTGTTGGAAGGTTTTTAATCACAGTTTCAATTTCAGTGCTTGTGTTTGGTCTGTTTATATTTTCTATTTCTTCCTGGTTCAGTCTCAGAAGGTTGTACTTTTCTAAGAATTTGTCCATTTCTTCCAGGTTGTCCATATTACTGACATAGAGTTGCTTGTAATAATCTCTCATGACCCTTAGTATTTCTGCAGTGTCAGTTGTTACTTCTCCTTTTTCATTTCTAATTCTGTTGATTTGAATCTTCTACCTTTTTTTCTTGATGAGTCTGACTAATGGTTTATCAATTTTGTTTATCTTCTCAAAGAACCAGCTTTTAGTTTTATTGATCTTTGCTATCGTTTCCTTCATTTCTTTT